AGGTCAGTCAGGTTACGGGGGTTTATGGGGGGAGGGCATGTGGGGACCTCTGTCAAGAAGGAACTGATGCAGACCAGATCTGGGACCAAGACCGGGACTGAAACCAGGTCCAGGCTGAGGATATCTGAGGTGGCCTAAATAATATAATCTTCAAAAGTTAAAGAAATATAAAAAAAATAAAAAAAAGGAATAAAAAAAAAAGATGGTGCTTGCAGGCTCCCCCTTGTGGCGCCTATGAAATCACTAGGATTGTATGTTGGTGATGTTTGTCCAATGATGAGATGAAATGATATATAGTGTATATATTTAAATTATATATATATACTGTATATATATATATATAGTCAATAAAAAAAATTGGTTAAGCCAAGAAAGAAAACAGGACGCTGCCCTCTAATGGATGTTCAAAAGATTACACTTTCACAACGGCTTTATTGTTTTGATTACGTACTACACAAACCTGTATTTGTACACGTACTCTATAACTGTATTCCTAGGCCCACGTCTTTGTACTCTAACCCTTTACTGAGCCGAGACTTTTCTATTGTGGTGAAATATTTGTTTTTTTTTAGTCTTGGTTTGGTTTTTTGCCCCACAATGACAACAGTCTGGACCAACTCATGGAGGCAGCAGCACGGCGGCCGCCGCAGCAGGACCTCATCTACATACGAGAACACAAACAAGGAGCCTATTTGCATATTTCATGAGTCGCAGGGTTAATTAACGCTCCCTCGACCACACCCAGATTTTCATTCATGCATCCGACATTTCACTGTATCCAATAAAAAAAAGACTCGCCCCCCCCACGATTGAAACTATTTCAAAAGTCCTCGGTTCCATTAAAGAATGAACACGTGGGAGTGAGCAGAGACCCCGCCCATCGTTAACAATCAAAGCCACACCCAGCTGCTTTGTAGCTGCATCGTTTACCAAAATCGGCTGTGCGGTAGTACAACTAGAGGTACTGTTACGTACTGCGTTGTAATGACAGTAAATGAGGCGGAGGTTAAAAAGAAAAAAAGATAAAGGTCCAGTTAGGAGGTTGACAATCCGATTCCTGGACCTCGCCCCACGTTTTGCAACACACCCAGCCATTGTAGGCCATAACTTGTATCCTAAATATGACGGTCCAGGGAATGATACAAGGGTAGCTCTGGTTGACTTTTGCAAAATATTTTTTCAAATCTCTACAACTAAAATAAACCAAAGAGAAGAAGCAGTGACAGAACTGTTCTTACACACGCTGGAATTTGTCCTTGGCTTTAGTGCTAGTGGATGGACGGACGGAATTTGTCCTTTACATTCAACCTACGCCTGAAACAAGACACTTGGGATTCTCACCGGCATCCCTCCTCTCACGAGCAAACAGCTACAGCGAAGGCCGCCGCCTAGCTTTTAATAAAACTGAAAAGTGAAATATCTCAGGTTAATTGCATTTTTTTTTTTTTTTTAAATTGAGGTAAAACGGTTGAAATTGGTTGGACTACACCACGTTGCCATGTTGGTTTAGCTGGGAGCAGCAGTGCTAATAGGCTCAATGGTAACTCTGGAGCTCTCACAGTATGGGAGGTACTCTCGCTTCCAAGGCGACGTACTACAGTTTTCAAATACATGCAGGGAGTTCTAGTGGAGTACGACTCCGAGCTGCGGCGGAGATTTCTCTTCTCCGCGGCGAGCCTTTTTGCTGCGTTCCGTTTGGTGAAGCTGCCTCCGCTGACGTCTGCACCTCCAGCCCAGACGTGTCGGGGCAGCTCCACTCGGTGCAGCTGTCCCATTCCAAACATTCTTCCAAATGTTTGCCTCTGACAATCCGAGCCTTTCCTCGACAGTTCAGACCCGAAACTGTCACCTTCGGTAACTTTTAGCGCTGAATTTAAGGCGGTATCAGACGTAACTCAAGTTCAGACCTGAGTGAGACCGACCGGGGGGGGGGAAGTCTGGTCTGATGCTGCTTTTGATATCAGATGCTATCATTTAATGCTGTTTTTCTGCTTCTTACGGTGTGAGGAAAACATCACACCAACCCTACATGAGGAGAAACGCGTTTTAAACAAAGAAACTGTTGTTAAAAATTATAATTAAAAACAAAAAAACACCACCAAAACCACACGACTTGATCGATTCTCCAGCCGTGTTCTTTTGTGAAGATCACCTGAAGATCTCACCAAGGCCTCTTCTCTCCACGTACCACAGAGGCTGCGTCTAGAATTGGACCCAGCTGTTGTTCTCCACTCTTTGGAACACTGTGCTCCAGCCTACTCTGTCACTCAGTGCTCTGCGCTCCGACTTCCTGCATGTGAAGGGGAATTCCAGTGCTGCTCTAGCTGCTGCTGCTGCTGCTGCTGCTGCGTCAGAATGATGAAACTAAAACTAATCCGTGTTCTTTTCTTTGTTTCAATAAAGTTGTTTGTCAAAAAAAAAAAAAAAAGAATGAAAGAAAAAGAAAACGGCATCAAAAGAACAAAGAAACAAATCCTGACTTGTGTAAAAAGTATAAAAACTCTCTCTCTTACTCAGTGACTGGTTCAAACACAGGTCACAACAATGGAAAACACGTCGGCTGTTGGGGTAAAGAACAGCGTGGAGGACCGCTGGGATCGGTCGGAGGACTTCAAAACGTACAAATCTGTGATCTGTAAACACAGACCGTGCCGTGATTTATTCGTCGACGACCAAAACTATCAGAGAACATTTTCACTGTTTTTATAACACCTGTCATATCCTTCAGGTTTCTTATATTCAGACGAAAAACAAGAGCCAAAAAAAAAAAAACCCCCAAAAGACACAGACAAAACTGGGACAAAATGATCACAACAGAAAACTAGAAACATCAACAGAACAAACAGCAGGCTGAGCGGTATCCTCGATGTTGCCCACCTGGATCGAGACTGGTAGGCAGGGGGCGTGGTCACCGTTTCAAAATTGTTGGGTTATCAAGTCTTGGACACATCACAGTGACACCAGGTGGCCGTTATGGGAAAGACACCGTCGTAATGTGTCACGAACCTGAATGATATAATATGATGATGTAACATCTGTACCAGGATGACACGAACCTAGCGAAACTGGTATGCTAGTTGTTTTAGCCCAAAACTAACTTTTTAACTCGCGGGTCACTATTGTCCTAAAATTGAACAGGCGGCGAGTCAGGATGAGATAGATGCAGCGTTCGTGCGAACTGAGATCAATGACATGTAAAAGTCATGCATCAAGGCTAAAATGCTTTTATCATTTTCTACGCCATCTATTGGGGAAACGTGGGTATTGCAGGGAAAAGGCAGAAGTACTGTATAATGATAAAATAAATCACTGATATAATTTGGTAAAGTTTGTCGGGCCAGATTAAATTGCAGAATGGGCCGCATCCGGCCCCCGGGCCTTAGTTTGCCCATGCCTGGACTATACCAAGTGAAGGAAAAAGAGTCGTAGTCTTCATCAAAAACCAGTGCAGGACTGACCAGTCATGAATAACACGTTTCCCTGGTGTGGAATCAATACAGTCTTATCTTATCTTGGTCCAAGCTGGGACCAACATTATATATCTTATCTTATCTTGGTCCAAGCTGGGAATTTGTGGTGCTGGCTGAGCACACACAATAGCCAGGGCAGGATTGGAACCTCCAACCTCCACTGAGACGACAGACCCCCCCCTCACCAAAAACCTCCCTGGCTTATCAGGTACAACAAATCATCACCCACTGCTCTTACATCACAGCTGGGGTTGAATGGAGAGAACAACATTCTGGTACAAGTGCACTGACAAACACAGGGACAATAACCAATGAATCCAATGACTGTCGCACTGGACATGAAAAAGCTGTAAAAGCTGAGCCATATATGCACGGCAACTGCAAAGAGAAACTCTGAGCCTTGGTGTCCAGCTGCAGCATTAAGGATTTGAGTATTGAGGTTTGAAAAAAAAAAAACGGCCTTCAACCAAAGGACTCGTGCTTGATCACATGACCATTGCTTTAAAAAAAAACAGCAGCAGGTCGAAGGCGTGAAAACGCACCGTGGAAAATGCGGTGACCTGAATGTCTGACGCTGTCGGTAAATGTTTGTTTGTTCAATCCCCTAAGACGCACAGCCGAAGAATTCGTCCAGAGAAATGAGTAAACGTCAGTAACGTCACATCACCATAGGGGGAGCCACAGGGACACTGTGTAAACAGACCAGACAACACCAGACACGAAATAAAAGGTATTTATTAACTTAGGTCCGACAGGTCAAACTTAAAAAACCATAAAACACAAACTATTTCAATAAGGAGTGGATGAAAACTGATTCAGAAACGGTCAGGTTAAAACCGGGCTCAGACTCCAGGCTTTGTTTTTTTTTAAGGGAAAACCAAATTGCCACGAACCAAACCAGATTTTGCTCATCAATCTTTCATCCATTTTCAACCTTCAACCCCAGCGACTACCAGAGAACTGAAGAGCGACGTAAAAGCGCAACGACTTGATCTGCAGCTGAGCTGAAAAGCGTTTGACTCGTGGAGGAAACACCGGAGACGAAACCATGAAGGAGAAGTTCTTATAAATTCACTCACAGCGTCCTTTTTTTTATTTTTAAAATTCTCATGATGTGTCTGTGAATGAAGCGGCTGCTGATAAGGATCCAAAATCTGGGATTAAAGTCAAGCATGAAGCATCAATGTTCGCCAAAAAGACAGTCTACACGCACAAAACCACACACGTGTACTGTATCTACGGGTGTGTGTGTGTGTGTGTGTGTTTATGACTGGATGTGGTGGATTGTTGCTGCTGCTGCTGCTGCTGCTGTTGTATTTGCTTTTGAGGATACCAAGGAAACAGGAAATGTTGGTTCAGGGCTGCTGGAGTTCGGTCTTCCCGTTGTCGTCACTGCGTGCGTAGTTTTCCCGTCTGACAGACTCACGGAGCAACGGGCTGGATGGACAACAGGCTGCCGAACTTAAAGTGCTGGATCACAGGGAACTTCTCCAGACACTGAGAAACGGGAGGAGAAAGTTCAGCCTCAGATCAGTGCATCTTCACCATTACATTGAGCCGTTCATTGGTCACATGATCATGATCACACACAAACACAGATAGTGAAATGTGTGTGGATATTCGGCGCTTGCCTGACACCTCACCCCGGGGGTGGGATTTGAACCTGTGATCCTTTAGAAATAAGTCCAGTTCTCCAACCACTGGGCCATGAGCTACATTTAGATTTATCTACAAAGCTACACATACAGATCACAGAAGAAGAGTCTCTGAGCTGGACAAGATGTCTGAATCACTGAGACAGGGTCAGGACTGAGCAGATGAGCTGTCAAGATGATTTGGAGATGAAGGGATATATGGACATAGCGAGGTAAATAAGACCAGACCAGCGAATCATACTGTATCGTCAGTTGAGTGTATCATTACACCCCTATCTTTGTTATGAGATTTTATGGTGAAGATGCTTGGGTATGTTAGTTAAACAAATGTCTGACTCTGTAACATAGCCCTGGTTTAGACTCCAGAGCTAACGCTAGCTACAACAGTCCTGGTTTAGACTCCCTAACTAACGTTAGCTAAAACAGTCGTGGTTCAGACTAAAGAGCTAATGTTAGCTACCACAGTCCTGGTTCCGACTTCAGAGCTAACGTTAGCTACCACAGTCCTGGTTCAGACTTCAGAGCTAGGGTTAGCTCCAACAGTCGTGGTACAGACTAAAGAGCTAACGTTAGCTACAACAGGCCTGGGTTAGACTCCCTAACTAACGTTAGCTACAACAGGCCTGGGTTAGACTCCCTAACTAACGTTAGCTACAACAGTCCTGGTTTAGACTCCCTAACTAACGTTAGCTACAACAGTCGTGGTTCAGACTAAAGAGCTAATGTTAGCTACCACAGTCCTGGTTCAGACTTCAGAGCTAACGTTAGCTCCAACAGTCGTGGTACAGACTAAAGAGCTAATGTTAGCTCCAACTGTCCTGGTACAGATACCAGAGCTAACGTTAGCTCCAACAGTCGTTAAAGAGC